TGTCTGGTCTTGTGCATGGATAGGAGCAGATGCACTGATCAAAGTCATGGTGGATTTGTAGAGTCTCATACACCAGCAAGGGAAATTGGAAGTGGAAGAAGAATCTGGGATGTGTTTGCTGCCAATAGGCACAAGGAGCACCTGCAGGAGTGAGCGGTGGAAAACCGAGAGGGAGATGATCTCCAAGCCCAGGAGACCTCGGGCAGTGTCCAGCGGGGCAGCCTCTCCTCCCAGGCCTCTCACCACCCATCTTTTCTCTTTATCTTAGCACCATCTAGAGGGATGTGTCTGCACACCCGACAGGAGAGCACCCGCACACGGGGTGTGGAGTCTGGGGAAGCCAAACCTCAGAGGAGCAGTGCACTCCTCCAGACACCCTCACTGCTTGCAATCATCCCCCTGGACCTCTGGAACTGGAATGAAGGGTTCTCCAGGGGGATTGGAGGCTGGGAGGTTCATGGGCGAGGTCTAGAGGCTCTTGCTCAGGGTTTGGGGCTTTTTCTTGATTTTTTTTTTTTTTTTAATTGCATCACCTACAGATCTTGCACCATCTACAGATCTTGCAGGTTTCAACAGAGGCCACATGTGGAATGCCATGTCCACTTGGGCTACTCAGCACAGCAGGGACAGGAGCTGAGGAAGGACCTGGAGCATCTCAGTGCCCAGGAAAGGCTGAGAGAGCTGGGGCTGGTCAGCCTGGAGAGGAGCCCCAGCTGAGAGGAGCCTCAGCCCTGGGTGTCCCTGTGTGTCCCTGGGTGTCCCTGTGTGTCCCTGTGTGTCCCTGGGTGTCCCTGTGTGTCCCTGGGTGTCTCTGTCTGTACCTGTGTGTCCCTGGGCGTCCTTGGGTGTCCCTGTCTGTCCCGGTGTGTCTTTGGGTGTCCCTTGGTGTCTCTCTCTGTCCCTCTCTGTCCCTGGGTGTCCTTGGATGTCCTTGTGTGTCCCTGTGTATCCCTGTGTGTCCCTGGGTGTCCCTGGGTGTCCCTGTGTGCAGGAGGCTCAGAGCAGTCCCAGGCTCTGCTCCAGAGGCTCAGTAATGGCACCAGAGCCAAGGGCAGGGGCTGAGCCCAGGCGTTCCCCTGCACAGGAGGCAGAATTTTTAGTGTGCAGTGACCCTAGCACTGAACAGAGACCAGAGAGGGTGTGGAGTGTCCCTGACTGGAGATATTCCACTGTCAGAGTCACTTCCTGCCCTCCATCAGCCCCATCTCGACCAGCCCCACACAATCCCAAAGCAAGGCCATGGAAACCAAAGTCCAACGTGCCCGGAGCAGAGATAAGGGAAGCACATTGCCCTGGGCAGAGGGCAAAGCTGCAGTTCTCAGGATTCACCTGACTGGGATTAAGGAACACAGAGAAGCACAAACAGCAGCAAGGCCTGGCAAAGGATGCACAAAAGCTGCATTTCTTCAGTGTCCTTCTTTAGTCAGGACTAAATCAGTGCTCTGGAGGTGGAATGGGATAAACTATAGAAAAACCAAGGACAATTCTCTGCCTACATTTTGTCTGTTTGGGATGTCACCCTTACCTCCCCCCCAGCCAGGCAATGGGTATGAGAGGGTTTGAAGGTCTGACTAGGGGACAGGACAGTGAAAGTGACCCTGCCCATGGCAGAGGGGTTGAAACTGGATTATGTTTAAGGTCCCTTCCAACCCAAACCATCCTGTGATCCTAAATCTGTCCCTGCAGTGTTGAGAGAGCAGCAGCAAAGGAGAGGAATGGTCCCATTCCTCACCCCTGCCCCACACAAGCTCAGTGCCCACTGCAGGGACCCTGTCGAGCCCAGTTTGGGATCACAGCACAGAGTTCACCTCCCACCTCCCAAATCCAACTCCTCCAACAGCCACGAAGCAACATCAGCAACCCCTCCAGCCAAGACCAGGTCTCCTTTCATTTTACCTCGGAGCAGCTGCCCTGAGGCAGCCCGGAGTGGCTCCTCCTTGCCGGGAGGAGCAGGGATCCATTCCCGGGCACGGATCCCGGGGCTCAGCCACATCCCCGCGTGTGACCGGGAGCGACATCCCGGGGGAGCGAGGGAGGGAAGGAGGGATCCGGGCTGCTGAATAAACACTGCACATCTGCCGTGAGAGCAGAGAGAGGCAGAGCCGGGCTGGCTGCACAGGACGGAGCTGCTGAGCCCACGGGAAAATGGTTTGAGTCATAATCAACGGTAAGGAAACCTCTGCTTTGAGGAGAGAGCGTAGAGGGGAAATACCCTGCTTGTGTCACGGCCTTGGCTGCTGGGGGGAGGCAGGCTGGTGCTGGAGGGGTTTGGGACACAGCCAGGGCAGCAGGCACGGAAAAAAGTCCCGTTTATCCCGGTAAATCCAGTCCCCATCCCTCCCTCTGCTGCGGCTCCGCCGGCGCCGCTCGGGGCTGGCTGGGGAGGCGGGTTTGGGGTCGCTGCTGTTTCCCAGTGTCGCAAAGGTCCCCGTGTCCCCTGTTCCCACAGCCTGCCGCTATGTGGCCAGGAAGATGAGGAGCCTGTGCAGCCCGGAGCCCCGGGAGCCACAGCCCTGCCCGGGGCAGGCAGCGCCCCAAAGCCAGAACCAGGGTAAGTGCGGCTTATGGGGACAGGGACATCCACACACCTCATCCTAAACCTGCTGGGACCTGTGGGGCACCTCCACACGCCCCGTCTGTGCTCCCAGGGCCACGCCGCAGAAGTTTCTGCTCTCCCCTGCTTTATTTTTGCTCGCTGGGTTTTGTTGTTAAATGTCATTGCCGCCCCTGGCAGAGGGGAGGAGCAAATAGCAGCCTTTGGAAAAGGGGACAGCCGTGCTTTGGGGTGGGATTAGGATGTCACCTGCCTCCACAGGGCAATGTGTCCCGTGACACTGTTTGTTATTCAGAGCCCTGCCAAACACCGAAATACAGCACCGTGCACAGAGCTGGCAACGAGAGATCGCTGTCCTTGCTTCCAGTCTTCCCTCCCTGGCTCGTTTAAAGCACACATTTGAACCACAGTGACCTTGCAGATAAAGCAGAGCCCAAATTTGGCACAGCAAGGACCATCCTGGCTCCTCTCCCTGCCCCAGCCAAGGCACGGAAAGTTCTCCAGCATCACCTGACTGCCCTGCTCGGGTGGCAAAGCTCCCTGTGAAAGTGAACTGAGCTTTGAGCTGAGCCCTCAGCACGGCTCGGATCTGCCCCACCCCTACTGGTTGCACTGGTTTGGCCGAGTCACTCCTGAGCAAACATTCCCAGGAGCTTGGAGCTGGCCCTGCAGACTCCAGGGAAGGTGTGGGGCTGAGCCATTCCCTCCCCACTGCCCCCATCAGCTGTGTGGGAGGGGAAAAAGGGGAATTGTGTGCACAGGGGGTCCTAAAAAATGTCCAGAATTTCTCCTGTCCCCTAAAGTAACATTGGATCCTGACCAGAGAGGGGAAAGGGGATGTCTGCCTCCACCCATGCCTTGATTAAGTGTGCATGAAGGAGAAGCAGGAGGAAGGAGCAGCTCCCATCCTGCAGTGGGGGCCAGGAGTTTGCAGAGGCTCCAGGAAGATCAGGGCAAGCACTTGGATGTATCAGGGAGAGGAATCAAACTCCTCCTTTGAGCAAAGCTGTTCAGTTCCTTTCTGCAGTTAATTGCTGGGTGTTTAATTGCAATCAGGGTAGCTGAGGTTTTTAGAAGGCTTTATTGTCCCTTCCAGAACCTTTTGCCTTGGCTAATCCCGAATCCCTCTCTTTTCTCCCATCCTTGTCATTTGCAGATGTAAAACCAGAGCTACCAGCACCTCCTGAAGCACCAGCCTCACTCCCCAGCAACATCAAACCCACCCAGTGCAGGTCCTGACGATAAAAACCCTCGTGGTCCTCCCATGAAGGCCATGAGATTTCTTCCCACTGATTTTTGCTGGAAATTCCAGAGGTTGGAAAATAACAGCAAATCCCTGCAGTATCTGCTCTTGGCACAGAAGCACAGTGATAGAAAATGTCCTGATCAGTGTCTCATGACCAGAATTTTCTAGTTGTCAGAAAAAAAATTCCCAATGTGCATCAGATGCTCCTGGCACCCGTGGGCCGTGGAACACCAGGGAAAGAGCAGGAGCCACTGCATCCTAGCAGGGAATAAGAATTTTATTCTGTGAAACCAAATCATACTCCCAGAGATATAGGTACAAATTCAGACAATTTCCACGAAGGCAAAATGAGTTCCTGAGCTGGAATAAGGAGTTTTGGAGCTCAGGTGTGTGGGAATCCCTTTCTCCATGCCCAGTCAGCACCCAGGTGATGTGCAGCACCCCCAGAGCAGAGGCTGCAGGGACCACAGCAGGATGTGCCCCCAACCCTGCCCTGCCACAGAGCAATGACAGCAGAGCCCCAAACCCCATAAGTGTGGGGGGGATTCTGCCTGACCCCTCCTGTGACAGCTCAACCTGAAGTAAAGGTGGATGAAAATCAGCTGGTTGGGAGTGTGGTGGGTTTTGTCTGGAATGAGTTTGGCGTCACTGCAGTGCTTGGGATTGTGCACTGGCAGCATGGGGGGATCAGAGGATCATGTGGGGGCTCACTGATAAAGGGATCCTTTAGTGGGGGTCACTGATGAGGGGATCCTTGGTTGGGGTCACTGATAAGGGGATCCTTTAGTGGGGGTCATTGATAAGGGGATCCCTTGTTGGGGTCATTGATAAAGGGAACCCTTGTTGGAGTCACTGATAAGGGGATCCTTTGTTGGGCTGACTGATAAGGGGATGGTGCTGGGGCCTCAGGCAGGAGGAGATGGACCTTGTCCCAGCATTCCTGGTGACAGAAGCAATGGGACAAGGAGCAGAGCTGTCCTGCCCCCTGGGAAGAGCCAAATGCAAGTTCCTGGTGCTCCAGGGCTCAGGCTCCTGCTGCCACCCCGAGTGATGGTGTGGCCGTGGCTGGTATGAGGTTGTGTGAGGACGGTTGGTGACAGGAAGGTTTGGACACAAACGAGTCCCAGGCTGTCCCTGGGTTGTTTCTGACCCCTGGGGCAGCTCCTCCACACCGAGCTGGTGGGCAGGAGCTCTCCAGGGTGAGCAGCTTTCGTGCATGGTTTATTACAGTCCTATTTCCACTCGTTCAGCCACGACAAGGAATTACAGCTCCCTTCTCTGCCCCACGGTTTCTCCACGCTGGTGTGTGGGCACAGCTCTATTTCGGTGCTTTCCAGCCCCCTCTGGTCACCTGGCCCAGCCGTGGTGGGGCTGGAGCACGGTGCTCTGGATGAACTGGCACAGGCAGGGAACGCTGCTGTGCCCCAGGTGTCCCCCTGCCCTGGCCCGAGGGAGCCGGCCCGTGGCCAGGAGCCGCACGTAGCAGCCACTGAAGATCACCAGGAGCTGCTGGGCCATGGCCTGGAGGGACAAGAGAGGTGTCAGGGCAGGGCATGGCATCCCTGTGGGCAGAGCACAGCAAACATCCAGCACCGTTCTCTCCCTGCTTCCAGGACTGTGCTGCTGTGACAGGAGCAGGACAGCAGCCAATGGCACACATAACTGGCCCAGATCCCCTTGTGGCCAGCAGGGCTGCCACACTGTCCCCACAGGGGTGACACCAAGTGACTGCTGGCCTTGGGGACCTGCCCACTCTGTCCCTGCCTCCCCGGGCTTGTTTTTGCCTGTAGACAGCCACAGAGCCTCAACCTGCAGGGATGTCACCTGCACTGAATTCACCTAGTGACAGTGACAGGAAAACTGCAAAATAAATCCAAATCATCCCTTTGGTAGCTCCGTGCTGAGCAGCAATCAGGACACATTTGTTGCTCAGCGTGGCACAAGTCTTTGAAGGCACTTTCCACAGAGGAGACAAAGGCTGGGCTCATCCATGGCTCAGCCCGGCCTGGGCAGGGGCACCAGCTCCCTGGGGAGATGTTTTTTTTTCCAAACAGGACCCTTGGGACCAGCAAAGAAAAGCCCAGTCCATGAATTCCCCAAGGATCCTCCCCAGCTGCTCAGACAGCTTTGACAGCTGGGCAGCACCAGGGCTGGAGAAGGTGTGTGTGTACCTCCAGGTGCTTCTGCTGGAGAAAAAGGGGATGTCCCCCATGGCTGGGATGGGTTTTGGAACTGAGATGCCTCGGGGGTGTGATTTGTTGCCTCTGTCAGGGGGATATTTCTCCTCACCTCGGGTGGGCCCTGGGGGATGAGGTGCAGGAGCTCCTTGCAGGTCACAGGATCTTTATTCAGGGTCACCCCGTTGGATAAAAGAGGGGATTCTTCACATGGAGCCTCCTCCTCCTCCATCCCCAGCTCGGGCTGAACTGCCACATCCATGACCACACGGAGCTTGTTCAGCCTGTGCCTCAAGCCTGCCTGGAAGAGAAGGAGATTTTGGGGCTCTCCAAAGACAGGCAGCAGTGGTGTCCTGAGCAGAGCCTTTACAGGGCACCATTTCCTCCTGCACGGATTTCACTCCTGGGATTTCCCACCCCAGGCAGCAGTGGTGTCCTGGGGACAGAGTTTAAAAGGCACAATTTCCTCCTCCTGCATGGATTTCACTCCTGGGATTTCCCATGCCAAGAACTGGGTGTCCATGCCATGGCCTGGCTGCCCTCAGCTGCCAGTGAGTGCTCCCAGCACCACAGACACAGCCTGGCATGGAGAATCCTGTCTTTAAAAACAGACTTATCTCATGCCCTGTGTGAATTGGGCAGTTGCTGTCCAGCCCTGAGCTGCAGCTTTCAGGGAGATGAGCAGCCTGGAGATTTCAGAAGGCTCTCACCTCTCATCTCACAAAGGCAGTTCTGTGGATATTTTCACACCCACAGAGAGAGCAAAACATTTTCTGAAGGCCAAGAGGACGAAATTTTTATATAATTAACTCAATCCAGCAATTCCTGCTCCTCCAGGCTATCCCACTTATTCCAGGAGGACAGCTCAAGGTGGCAGCTGTTCCAAGGTGTGCCACATGCTTCCAAAATTTGCCTTTCATTCCTGATGACTTTCCATGATTAAAGGTACACAATTAATTATCCAGACACGCACGTTCCACGGGGTCTGGACAAATTCCTGCTGAACTGGACATGGACAGGTGCACTTTATTCACCTCCCAGTGCACAGCAGGGGAACCTCAGCAGGGCACTCAAACTCTCATTTGTCCTTGCCCACCTCCAGCCCAGCAAATCCAGTGTCCCCAGTGTCCCTTACCTGTGTCCCCTGCAGGTGAGTGATGTGGGCTGACAGGGCCTGCAGGCAATGCTCAGGGTTGAAGTGCACAAACCACAGCTGGAAGGGGCAGGTGAAGGAAGGAATCTCTCCAAGCCTCCCCTTCCCATCCATGGGGATGCTGGGATGGGCTCACAGGGAGCAGAGCTGAGGGAGGTGGTGCCCTCAGGGTGCTCAGGGACCCAAATAACACAGCCCAGGGCTGGGTTTAAGCCAGGAGGGTCTGGGCTAAGACAAAACTCCAAGCTTGGGGAAGCAGAGAGCAGCCAGCCTGGAATGACCCAGGGTCTTTGCCCATTGCTCATCTCAGTGACCCGTTGTGGAAGGAGCAGAAAACACAGAGAAAAGTCTCCCTGCATCCTCAGAACAAATTCCTTGGAAAACCAGAGCTTAGAGATAAGAAATGGCTGTGAAATGACAAATACAAAAGGAATTTAGCTTCCCCCCCTTGGAAGACCCTCTTATCTATCTTCAATATTAGTGGTTCATTTTCTTTTAGTATCCATAGGCCAGCTTTGAATGTAAAATCCATCAGGAATTGGTTAGAATGGAGAATTCCCTTGGTAATTGGTGCAAAATGTGAAACCCTCAAAAGATATAAACCCCCTGTAAAACAATAGCCGTGGGTATATGTAGATAGGATGCCTGAATAGAATAAACCATGGATTTGTGCCTCTCTGCATGTGCTGGTCTCCTTACCTCACTGGTCTGAGAGCTCACTGTGAGCCACAATTCCATCTGGGCAAGGCTCGGGAATTTGCTCCATCACTGAGGGCTGCAGAAGCAACCCCAGGGATCCCAAAGGGACCCCAAAAACCCCAACCAGTGACAACCCTACACCAAATAAACCATGGGGCACAGTGACTCAGCTGCCCTACACCCCCTCCTGCTGTCCTGCCTTTGTTTCTAATGGGATTCACCCCATTTATTTTTTACAAAGCTGGCCATACTCAGTGCTGCTCTGAGGACACTGGTGAGAAGAGTTTTCCAAGAGCAGCGTGTTGGGGATGTGAGTCCTGCCAGAGCTCTGTCCTTGTGCATCTGCTGCACCTGCCAGCACCACAGGGATCCAGGAAAATGTCAAATCCAGAGGGTTAGAATGGATCTGACACTGGAGCAGACAGAGCCATTGTAAATCTCTGGGTTATGTGCTGCTCTCAGGCAGTTTTGGGACAGGTAGGTCAAGGTGAAGGCTCCCTGGATTGGCTCTAGTGGACTTTGCTGGCCTGAATAAAGGTAGAATTCAGGTTTTATAAACGTGGAATTCATGTTTTTAAGGGTTTTCTCCTCTTCCTGAATGACTTTGCCCTCCTGCAGTGTTCCCTGTCCCCTTCCCTGCTTCACCCCAGCTTCCCTCTCCATTTGTATTTCAAGCCTCTTTCTGTGTCTCTCTCACCTTTCTTTAACATCTTCATGGAGCCTTAAAACTCTCCTCATTCCCCTAAACCCCTGTCTAGCCCAGAAAAATCATCTCTGAAAAGCAGAAAATGAGTCCAAGGACAGGGATTTTGTTTTTCTCCATGTTAGAGTTTTTGGGGGACTATTTGGTTTTCTCCTTTTTGTTTTTTTAGACTTTTTTGTTTTTTGGTTTTTTTTGTTTAGTTTGTTGTTTTTTGTGTTTTGGGGTTTTTTTTGCCATGGGAACTTTCTGTCACTCTGCCTATAGGCAGAATCATCAGTGTCACATAGGTACAACACAATTTTAGGAATAATTGTCTGCCTTAATGAATCCCACTTCAATCCTTTAGACTGATTATTTCCAATCATCTTTTGGCATATTTCAATCCTCACTTACAGGAGAAATAAACCTTTCCCAATTCCTCATTGCATCCCATAGGAGACAAACCAGATCCTAGGAACCCCATCCTCTGGATCCCAACATCAATAAATGGCTCCAGCAGGAGGCATTGATCCAGGAGGGGTCTGAGCAATTCCCAGCAGAAAGGATACTTGCAGGATGTTGTGTGGCCCGTCCAGGACATCTGTAATCCCCAGGATTATGTTGTGTTTGATAAAGATTTCATTGACAGCTGCCAGCCTCACATCTGTGTTCACGTTTAGCTGTCAAAGAATGCAAGGGGAAAAAACACAATCCACAGCAAAAGTCTATAAACTGCAGCTGGATAATCCCAAATACTGCAGCTCTGAAAGGAAAAGTGGAACTGATTCCCAGTGTCATGTTCTCCCTTCCTCCCCCAGCAATCTCCTTTCCTGAACCTCCTGAACCCCCACATTTGCCTGGTTTCCTCTTGGAAGAATAATTTGCTTTGAATCCCCCTCTGGATTTTGATTTTCCAATATTATTCTTCAGCCAAATGGTGCCAGTAATGCCAGAGGCAGCAGAGAATGCAAGGAGGGATCATCAGGAGCAGGACAGGAACCAGAGCTGCTGTGGGAGCACAACCCACACTCTGCAAGGGTTGCTCTGCAGGGTGACCTTGTTGGGGCCTCTCAGTGCTCAAAGAAGCTTCAAGAGAGCTGGAGAGGGGCTGGGGACAAGGGATGGAGGGACAGGACACAGGGAATGG